CCGCGACACCTTTGCCCCCTTTAACGGGAACTCCCTTGCCTTTGCCCGTCGCGCCCTTGGTGTTGGCCGACTGCTCCTTGAGCGCCTGCGCCTGCGCCGCGAGCCTGGCCGAGGAGAGACGCGCTGCCGCTGCCTGGAGCTCCGCATCATCCTCGGAGTCGCAGCCAGCGGGTTGTCGGGCTGCATCGGCTTCGCCGCCACCGCTGCTCATGCTGGCATCCGCTGCCGCCGCTGCGGCGGGGGGGAGGGGAAGGGGGGGGGGGGGGGGCGCGCCCTGCGCAGGACCTGACGAGCCGCCCTTGCCTGCGCCTGGGCCGCTGCCTGGCGATCCCCCCGCGGGCGGCGCCTCCTCAGGCTCCGTCTTCCGTTTCTTGCGGAACCGATCCTGCATCTCCTGCGCCTTGGAGAACATCGCCGAAACCTCGGCCTCCTTGCCCTCCATGACCTGCTGGAGCTGCTCCAGATCGACCTTTATCTTCTTGAGCTCGGTCCTCTCAGCGTCCGAGCAATCCAACTCGTCGATGCCGTCGAAGAGCTCCTTGTCCCAACTGACTGCAAACTTACGCGGCTGGGTGGCCCCCTCGGGGCGAAGTACCACGCCTTCGGCAACTGCCATGGCCTCGGCGGCCGCGCGCTTGGTCCTCTCGGCCTGCGCCAGCGCTAAGGCGGCAGCCTGCTCGCGAGTCCGCGCCTGGGCCAAGTTGGCCTCGAGGCGCACCGCCCGCGCCGCTGCCTGCGTGTGCTTGTGCTCGGCATCCTTGAACAGACCCACCGCCTTCTTGAGCGCCTCCGCAGGCCCCGCAGGCACGGTGGGGGCGGTGCCGCCTAGACGCTTTACCTGCGCCTCGAGCACCTGCCGAATATCTGCATCCTGAGTGCCCTTCACCGCCATGCGGAGTAGCCCGGCTACGTCGAGGGACGAGGCGGCCTGCAGCTGCTCTGCCTTGGTCTTGGGGTTGTCCTTCCCCTTGCCGCCCTCCGCGCCAGCGGGAGCGGCCGCGCCTTGGCCCGCGCCAGCGGGGGGGCCGACTCTGGCGCCTGCGACTGCGCGCGGGCGGCGGCTGAACCAGGGCGAGGTTTGTGCATCTTGACCTTCCGATTACATCCTAGGCAAACTCTGTCGCGCGATTCCAAAACGTCATTGTATTCACAACGCTGGCAGGAACAACGGGACCAGAGACGGGCCATCATCAAAACTCCTGTTTTGGTCGACGTTCAATCCCTGAAACCTGGCAGGAGAGGGATAAAAACGTAGTGCCTCAAGTACCCCGTGCAGGCACAGGAGCGGGGCGCTGCCAAAATGGTCCTGAGCCCCAATGTTACTTGAGGGAGGAGGAGGAGGAGAAGGAGGAGGAGGAGGAGGAGGTGCAGGTGGAGGAGAAGGAGGAGGAGGAGGAGGAGGAGGAGGGGGAGGAGGAGGAGGAGGAGGAGGAGGAGGAGGAGGAGGAGGAGGAGGAGGTCCGCGGGCCCCCTTGTGGGGCCACCAGGCTGTAGGCCGAAGGTTCGCCGTTTCCTGTACCAGTTGCAGCTTCCAGTTTCCACTGTTACAGTTCTGCTTCTTGCTGCTTACTCTTCCTTGTTGATGGACCGCGCGAGGGGGGAGGTCCAAACGGGCAGGTTTAGCTCGCCCTGAGCGTGTTGTCTGAATTGCTGGGGTGGGTAAAAATTGGCACCCCTCACGCAGATCGGCGGGGACAGGGTCCAACAACACATGGGATTTGCCACATTTTTGAAATTTGCTGGCACCCCTCACATTTCTGAAATTCGGTGGCACCCCTCACGCAGATCGGCGGGGTCAGGATCCAAAAACACATTGGATTTGCCACATTTCTGAAATTGGCTGGCACCTCTCACGCAGATCGGCAGGGTCAGGGTCCGAAAACATAGGGGATTTTCGACATGTCTGAAATTCGGTGGCACCCCTCACGCGGATCGACAGGGTCAGGGTCCAAAAACACACAGGATTTGCTACATTTTTTAAAATTCGGTGGCACCCCTTACACCGATCGGCGGGGTCACGATCCAAAAACACATCGGATTTGCCACATTTCTGAAACTCGGTGGCACCCCTCACGCAGATCGGCGGGGTCAGGGTCGAACAACAAACAGGTCCCGACACTGCTTCACGGCGGCGCCCAGACCTCATGATTTAGCTTTTTCATCTCCCATTATCCGAGACAAGGGGCCGGCGGCATGGGGCGAAGTCCTTACGGTAAGAGGAGGAGGAGAAGGAGGAGGAGGAGGAGAAGGAGGAGGAGGCTGAGGAGGAGGGGGAGGAGGGGAGAGGAGGAGGAGGAGGAGAGGAGAGGGAGGAGAATGAGGAGGAGGAGGAGGAGAAGACGGATGCTGGTGATGATGAGGAGAATAATGAGGAGAAGAAGGAGGAGGAGAAGATACGAGAGGAGGAGGAGAAGAGAGGAGGAGGAGGATAAGGAGGAGGACGAGGAGGAGGTAAGAGGAGGAGGGATGAGGAGAGGAGGAGGAGGAGGAGGAGGAGGAGGAGGAGGAGGAGGAGAAGGACCAGTGTAAACCCACGAGTCATCAACGATGTTGGAATAAACCCTCCCTCCAAGCTCCCTCTTCATAGGCCTTTGCGAGGGTGCATTTCCACCGTTGGAGCTGCCTCGTTGGAAGACAACCGTTTGAAGACCCATGCCAAGACATCGTTCTCGCGATTCCTTTGCCATGGATCAACCTGACTGTTGCGCCTTGACGATCCTGAATCGTGCCAGAACGCCTGTCTTGAGATTTCGTAAACGCGAATCAACACAAGTGTTGCGCCCTCAGAATCCTGAACCCTTCCAAAACATCATTCCGTGAAACTCTGGCATTTTTTGAACATGTGCGCGGCGCTGAGGCGAACACCACATTTTGAACATGAACCGCCCCAATCCGTGAAACCCTTGCAATTTTTCCCAACCCCTTTGGTAGGGTATTCGTTTTGAATAGAGCACTGCGGTCTCCAATCCTCCTCCTCCTCCTCCCGCCTCCCGTCTCCCGCTTCCGTCTTGTCTCCTCTTGCCTTGCGTGCACCTCGGCTGTGTGTGTGTGTGTGCATCCTGGCTGCGGTACCTCGTGTGTGTGCATCTTGTCAAGGGGCTGCGATCTGTGACACTGACGCCACTTCCGAGGGCTGCTGGTGGTCCTGCGGAGTGAGGCACCGCGGGGACCTGAGCGAGACCTCGCTGTCCCTGGGGGGCTGCGACCTGCGACACTGTCGCCACTTTCGAGGGCTGCTGGTGGGTCCTGCGGAGTGAGGCACCGCGGGGACCTGAGCGAGACCTCGCCGCCCCTGGGGGGCTGCGATCAGCGACACTGTCGCCACTTTCGGGGGCTGCTGGTGGGTCCTGCGGAGTGAGGCACCGCGGGGACCTGAGCGAGACCTCGCCGTCCCTGGGGGGAGGGGCTGCGATCTGCGACACTGTCGCCACTTTCGAAGGCTGCTGGTGGGTCCAGCGGAGTGAGGCACCGCGGGGACCTGAGCGAGACCTCGCCGTCCCTGGGGGGCTCTGGAGAGCTGCTGTGGGATACGTTATGCGCAACGGGCGCATGGTACAGCCAACGGGGGTGATTTGTGAAACAGACCATCTGACGCTGATGGCCATAACGTTGCGCCTGCACGTATCCCGCGGGGGCTCTCAAGAGCTGCTGTGGGATACGTTGGATGCAACTGGCGCATGGCACAGCCAACAGGGGTGATTTGAGATTGTGTAGCCCTTATATCTTGATCGGTGGCCCGCGAGCCTTCCGATTGCTGCTCGCAACATCACATGCGTCCATGTTACGTCATCGCCCCCGTTGTAGCAATCCTGATGTACTTCTGCACCGCATTGCGTACGGGTTGGGTACGTCGCCAGGGTAATTTAAAACGAATGTGCACGGCGCTGAAGCGCGAGCCACAATTTGAAACATAACCACCCTCAACCAGTGAAACTCTTGCGCATTTTTTTAAACGAATGTACGCGGCGCTACTGCGAGAGGCACATTTTGAATACGGGTCGCCCTCAATACTTGAAACCCTTGCAAATGTTTAAAATGGATGTGCGCGGCGCTAAGGCGAGAGCCACATTTTGAAAACGGATTGTCCTCAAATCGTGAAGCTCTTGCACATAAAAAATGTGCGCGGCGCTAAGGCGAGAACAGCATTTTGAAAACGGGTTGCCCTCAATTAGTGAAACTCTTGCAAATTTTGAATACGAATGCGCGCGGCGCTAAGGCGAGAGCCGTTTTTTGAAAACCTACATATGTGAAACTGTTGTCAAATTCCAGCTTCAGGGTAATACGTGACGAAGAAGTCTCAAGCGAAACGCCGGGCCCGCCCTGAAAACTGGCCTCGGGGTGCGACAGGGGGAAGATATTTGTAAGGAAAAGGAATGGAAGAGAAAGAGGGGGAGGAGGAGGAGGAGGAGGAGGAGGAGGAGGAAGATGATGATGATGATGAGGAGGAGGAGGAGGAGAAGGAAGAGGAGGGAGATAGGATGATGATGATGACGAAGATGATGCTGATGATGCTGCTGCTGATGATGATGAGGATGCAAATGCTGATGATACTGTTGATGGTGATGCTGATGATGCTGATAAATATGGTGATGATGACGGTGATGATGCTGATGCTGCTGCTGCTGCTGCTGATGATGGTACTGATGATAATGATGGTGGTGGTGATGATGATGCTGCTGATGATTATGATGCTGATGCTGCGGCTGATGATGATGATGCTGATGAGGATGAGGATGAGAAGGATGAGGGGGAGGAGGAGAAGGAGGAGGAGGATGATGATGATGAGGAGGAGGAGGAGGACGGGTTGGAAGGAGGAGGAGGGAGGAGGAGGAGGAGGAGGAGGAAGGAGGAGGGGAGGAGGAGGAGAGGAGGAGGAGGAGGAGGAGGAGGAGGAAAAGGTGGAGGAGGAGGACATCGGCGGAGATATGGGCACTTCGACCCTCGGACCTCGATCCTCGACCCCGCGGGGGACGGCGCTCGAGGAAAGCCGGCTGCTGGGCCTCGAAAGTCAGCGACGGCGCGGCCTGGCCGGCCTCCTTGGCCTCGCGAAGCTGCCGGCAGGCCTGCGGCGTGCCGCAGGAGGAGGAGAAGGAGGAGAAGGAGGAGGAGAAGGAGGAGGAGAAGGAGGAGGAGGAGGAGGAAGGAGGAGAAGGAGAGGAGGAGAGAGGAGGAGGATGAAGAGAGGAGGAGGAGGAGGAGGAGGGCGAGGAGGATGGAGGAGAAGGAGGGGGGAGGAGGAGGGAGGAGGAGGAGGAGGAGGAGGAGGAGGAGGAGGAGGAGGAGGAGTGAGGAGGAGGAGGAGGAAGGAGGAGGGAGGAGGAGGAGGAGGAGGAGGAGGAGGAGGCAGGAGGAGAGGAAGGAGGAGGAGGAGGAGGAAAGGAGGAGGAGAGGAGAGAGGAGGAGGAGGAGAGAGGAGGAGGAGGGAGGAGGAGGAGGAGGAGGAGGAGGAGGAGGAGGAGGATCGCACGCCACCAAGGGGGGAGAAGAGAGAAATAATCCGACAGTCGGCTGAAGAAGCCCAAGGGAGGCCCATCGGAAAGGGCCTTTTTGTCACCCTGACAGGAAGGCCAAGGACCTGCCATGGGGCCAGCGACAAGGCCCCCCAAGGCAAAAAGCTAACCGTCTTCGAAATGGACATCAGTACAGTTGCGCTTTTCTCGGAGCTTGACCCCGAGGTTTCGGGCCTCCGCTTCGTTCAAACCGAACGCCTGCAAACAATCAGCCGAGCAGAGGGGATCGGGAATCACACTGAACACCCCTCGCTTCGCTGGCCTTGTCGCTGGACCCCTGGGCCGCCGTTCAACGCCCCAAACGCCTCCCGAACCCGCTCACCAGGCGACCTCCAGGGGCCCAGCTTGAAGGCGCGCTCTCCTCTTCAAACGTCCCGGCCGAAGAGAAATCGAGCAACGTCGTAATCGAGTTGAAGGGACGCCCCTTCCCTTGGATACCTTCCCCGCTGGGGGGGGGTCACGGGGGCTGTGACCCACTCTCTGGGGGAGCACCCCTCCCTGGGAGAAGCTTTTCCCTTCGATTCCTTGCCTCCCAGACGCCTCGGGGTCGGCGGCACCGGCCGTAAGGCCTTCACAAAATAGCCCGTATGTCGGTCGGCCTCCCTGATCATTGACCCACTCCAGCCCGCTGGAGCCGCTCTGCGGACGCAGCCGATGAAGGGAGGGGACACCCTTTCATGACGAAGCCAGGACTGGGACAAACTCGGACTGGGACACATCGGGCATCTCGCGGCCGTTCCATAGCGCTCTGGGGTGCTCCGAGACCTTGCCGGAACGCTGTGGAACGATTTACCCCGGTCCTGGCCCCGCCCGACCCTCCTCTCGGGCACCTCGGCGCGAGTTGCCTGAGCCGGCAGCGGGTCCCGAGATGCCTTCCCAAGCGTTTCCCAATACGTCTGCATGGAAGCTCCCCAGAAACTCCTTCAGAAGCTCCTTCCAGGAGCGTCCAGAGCTCCTTCGAGAGGCCTCTCGATGGCCTGCTGGCGTTCCGCTACCTGGGTTTTGGACTTCACAAGTATCCCCCTCCTCCTCCTCCCCCCCCCTCCTCCCGCTCCTCCTCCTCCTCCTCCTCCTCTTCCTCCTCCTCCTCCTCCTCCTCCTCCTCCTCCTCCTCCTCTTCCTCCTCCTGGTCCTGGCCCCGCCCGACCCTCCCCTCGGCCTCGGGCACGCCACGAACAGTCGGTGGCAAACCCGCTCAGCTCGGATCCCCCGGGCAGGAATCCCCAAAGCTCGGGCGGTGGCAACGCCGGCTGCATGGGCCCGGGCTCCGCCCCGAGGCGCCAGCGGCGGCGAGGCTCCCGTCCCGAACGCCCGCCCAACCCATCTGCGCCACACCCACCCAACCCTGCCAGGCGATTCATATATGGGGCTCTGGGGGATGGGCCCTGAGATCCTGGCGACTTAATCTTTTCGAGCCGGGCGTTTTCGCTCCATTTCGGGCCCCGGGACCCTCACTTATCGGTCCAGCTCGAGAAATGACGCAGAAAGATGGGATCTGGGGGTCTGGTCGTTATTTTTTGTGATGTTGCATTTTCTTGCAACGTCGGATATCAGGGGGGCCGAAGGATAGGAAAGGGCTCCCAAGCTGAACCTTTACCGCCTGAGGCCACTCGTCCTCGGGGCCCCACCCCTAGCGCGTGGAGCGCGCCAGGGGCGGCGCCGGAGGCGCCGCTAGAGGGGTCCAGCGCCGATCCAAGAAATCCGAGCGAAGCTCCGGATTTTTTAAGGCTTTTTAATCATACGCACATCTGTATCTGAACATACATATCTGTATGTATATACATATATATATATATATGTGTAGGTATAGAAGAACTTAATTCGAGAATGCGCCTGTCCCGTTCCACGACCCGCAACCGTACCTCGCTTTCTTCCCTATGGAGGCCGCGTGGGGGCGTGACACCTTACCGGCCACACCGCTATGATTCAAAGACTGGGTCCAAGAGTCCCAGCCGTGCCGCGTTTCCTACTCCAGGGACGCCGCGTGGAAGCGCCGCGCCTTCTTTACGACGCTTTGACTCACGACTCCTGAGGCGGGAGGAGGGAGGAGGGGGGAGAGCGAGGAGGGGGGAGGGAGGAGGGAGAAGGCAAGAGGAGGGATGAGGGGGGAGGAGGGCTTCCGTCGAGCCCCTTGCAAGAGCGCGCCTTGGCTGGCGAGCGCACTGGCTCTGAGTCTGACGAGTCCTAAAGCCGCCAGCCTTCGTGGGGAAAGGAGGGAAAGGAGGGAGGACATGGCGCCCTCGCGGCAGAGTGCGCCGTCGGCGCGTCTTCTCACCCGCCCCCATCGGTCACCTAGGCAAGTGGTGGCGGTCCGCTCGGCGCGGGCCGAAGAGGAGGATGAGGAGGAGGAGGAGGAGGATGATGATGCTGCTGTTGCTGATGATGATGATGCTGCTGCTGCTGCTGCTGATGATGATGATGATGATGAGGGAATTTTGCTGCTAGAGCTGATATGGCAATGCGTTGCCTTAGCCAGACGTCAGTGAGAAACTGGTCGTCGGGTGGACGCACTAAGGAGAAGGAGGAGGAGGCGGCGGAGGAGGAGGAGAAGGAGGAAGGAGGAGGGAGGGAGGGAGGGAGGAGGAGGAGGAGGAGGAATGAGGACGGAGGAGGGGAGGGACGAGGGGAAGGAGGGAAGAGGTCCCACGGGCTGCCGTCGGTGAGAAAAAAAGTGAACGGGTGGGTACAAAGATGAGGAGGAGGCGGAGGACGAGGAGGAGAAGGAGGAGAAGGAAGAGGAGGAGAGAAGGGGCGGAGGAAGAGGATGTAGCTTATCGCAAGGGCCTACAGCGCAGGACCCGTGCCTCTCCTTCTGAAAGGCCGCGCCGCCATACTCGAATAACCATTGCTGCCTGGTCTGGCAGCTTTGTTCTCCGACGGAGGCACGCGAACAACAATTACGAATTCACCGTCGAAATTGACGGACATGTTTTGTGCAAACCAGCCAATGGCCGATCGAATGCCCTCTAGCAAGCGAGAAAACATACGCCTTGATCTGCGTAGAATGTGGTATCCATCCGAGAGTTCTGTGGTTTGTTCGACATTGCTGCATGCTGAAATGGTGGCGTGCTCCTTTACCTCGCTGCCACGGTGGAGACGATGTTGGTGAGAAGGATGGGACACGATGACGATGATGAAGGTGAGGGTGACAATGATGCAGATGATAATGATGGTGCCGGTGGTGATGGTGATGAAGATTCCTCTGTAGCCTTTTTGCGCCCAGGCGGTCTCCCTCAGAGCCTCGGAGCAGACATTTCGAAGATCTCCAATGCGAAAGCGCTGGTTTGGCATTCGGCTCCAGATTCCTCAGCTGTCCTGTATTCCCAGGAAACGGTGTGAGGAGGCTTCTGGACCTCTCTTGCAAGCTCCCTGGGGCCTTGGGGGGCCTCGGAGCAGATTTTCAAAAGATCTTCCTTGCCGGCCCCAGATTCTCAGGCATTCCCGGACTCCCTGGAGAAGGTGTGCTAGTAGGTTTCTCGCAAGTCTTCCTGGGGGGCGTAGGAATTTCGGAACCGTTTTTCGAAGACCCCCGATGCGGAAGCGTCGATCTGGTTTGGAGGCAGCCGTGGGGGTCTGAGCTGGACAAGCTCAGAGAACATGGGTCAAGAGGGGAGGGACGAGGGCAGATTCGCTCGAGATCGGTTTCCAAGCCCCTGCTGAGGTCGAAACTGACTGATTTTTCGAGCCGCGTTCAGCCGTGGCAGCGAGGGGCTCCTCTCTCTCCCACTTTCTGCTGGCCCGAACCACTGCTGGGCCACCACGGCCCCCCAGCCGGCTCCACGATCTGGGGCTCGGCTCTGGCCGCCCCAGCCTTCCCAAGCCCTCCAGAAGCGGTCAGGAGGCGCGCCTGAGCACTCTGGAGCTCTCTTGCAGGCCCCCCTGGGCCTTGGAGCCTCGGGGCCAGCTTTGTCGAGGAGCTCCCCTGCGGAAGTGCCAATGTTTGGGACTTGGCTCCCAAATTCCCTGGCTCTCACGGTTGGCTCGGGAACCAAATCAGGAGCGTTTTTTGTTTTTTTTGTTGTTATTGTTGTTGTTGTTTTTTGTTGTTGTTTTCCTCTCTCTCTCTCTTTGTCCTTGTGCTTGTGTGTGTGTGAGTCTCTCTCTCTCTCTCTCTCCCCCTCTCCCTACACACAGTCATATACCAGTATACATACACATATACACAGTTATGGGTATACATTGTATATATATATATATAGACGTACACATGTACATATACATGTACATATACACATACATTGTCAGACACACATGCATCTGACTACTCATCTATATGTGCAACGTTACACACCCACATATATACTATACGCGTGTATGTACATGTTCATATACATCTACACGTACACATACATCTACACACATACACACATTTACCATATCTACACATACGCATATACACATTCGTATACGTATGCACATACATACAACTAACCATAACCATACCCATACACATTTACATTTGCATTTGCGCACACATGTTCCCATACATATGCATGTACATGCGCATTCACACATACATGCACATTGACATGTACATACACACACGCACGCACGCGCACACACATTTACACACATGTACAGATACGAGAGAGCGTGATCCACCGCCGCTTTACTGTGGAAAATTGCCAACCTTTTCCTCCGGAACCCGGGGGTCGCCCCCCCCCCCCCCCCCCGTCCGAAAATCCCCCCCACCCCCCCCCCCTGCTGGAACCCTCCCCCCCCCCCCCCCCCCCCTTCACCATTGCAAAAACCCCCCCCTCCCCCCTAAAACAACCCCTCCCCCCCCCCCCCCCCCCCCCTCCCGTCAAAAACCCGGGGGGGGGGTAGTCACTACCGGTTCGAACCCACTCCCCCCCCTCCCCCCCCCCCCCCCCCTCACGATCGCGACTCTGCAGGGGGGGGTGTCACACCGGTTCGAACCCACCCCCCCACCCCCCCCCCCCCCCCCCCCCCCCCCCTACTCACCGCCAGCAAACGACTCCCGGTCCCCACCACCGTCCGCATCACATCCCCCACTGGTGTTCCCAGCACCACTGTCCTCACCACCGCTGTCCCCACTGGTTCCACCACCGCCCCTACTGTCCCCACCAGTGGCCCCACCACTGTCGCACTGTCCCCGCTGTCCCCAGAACTGTTCCCACCACGGTTCCACTCTCCCCACTGTCTCCACGGCCCCAACCACTGCCCGACTATCCCCACTGTCCCCGCTGTCCCACTGACTCCTCCGCTGTCCCACTGAGCTGTCCCACTGTTCCCACCACTGTCCCCGCTGTCCCCACCACTGTCCCCACTGTACCTCTGTCCCATTGTCCCACCGCCGTCCTCGCCACCGCCTTCACCACTGTCCCCACCACCATTGTACCCTCCACTGTCCCACTGTTTCCACCTCATTCCCATTGTCCCCACACCACTGTCCCCACCACCACCGTCACCACCACTGTCCACTGTCCCCCCCTGTTCCCACCATTGTCCCCACCACTGTCCCCACCACTACCGTCCCCACCACTGTCCCACTGTCCCACTGTCCCCACCACTGTCCCGCTATCCCCTCACCACTGTCCCCACCAACACCGTCCCCACCACTGTCCGCACCCCCACTCGGTTTTCGAGGGGGGGGGGGGGGTTCGAACCGGTAGTGACCCCCCCGGTTTTCCGGATCCGGAGGGGGGGGGGGGGGGGGGGGGGTTCGAACCGGTAGTGACCCCCCCCCTTTTTCATGATGAGCAGGGGGGGGGGGGGGGGGGGGGGGGGGGGGGGAGGGGTTCGAACCGGTAGTGACCCCCTGGTTTTCCGGAGGGGGGGGGGGGGGGGGGGGGTGGGGTTCGAACCGGTAGTGACCCCCCCCGGTTTTCCGCCAGCAGCGGTAGAACACGCTCTTTCACAGATACATACATACACCTACACATACATGCACATCTACTTATACATACACATACACGCCACCGTGCCTGTAGCACGTAGTGGAGTGCCTCAAGGATCATGCAGCCCTGAGGGGTTCAGAATTGTAATCCCCACCCGATCTTCTTTTTCAGGCCAGCCTCTCGACGTTGTCTGTTCGCAGATCACTCTCCAGCCAAGACGCAGCTGCTCGACGCGTCCACAAGGGACGCCTCGCCAGAGAGACAATCCAGCGACCTCTCGAGCGACTAACAGGAAGCATCTATACACAGGCTCAAGGGTGGGCGGGCTGGGTTGAGCCCAAAAACCCACGGAAGCGATTAGCATCGACGGCCTGAACTCTAGACCGATGGGGAAAGACATGCACGCAACGGATATCCCCACCCGATCTTCTTTTTCAGGCCAGCCTCTCGACGTTGTCTGTTCGCAGATCACTCTCCAGCCAAGACGCAGCTGCTCGACGCGTCCAAAAGGGACGCCTCGCCAGAGAGACAATCCAGCGACCTCAAAGCATCTCACTTCAAAAGATCCTCCTGGCCGTCAGGCCGTCATTCGCATCAAGGCACGGTGCACGGAACAGAGCCTAGACTCACGGTACGCCTTTGCAAGCAAACTGGACAATCTGGGAGGGCATGGTTCAGCAATCTTTGTCCAGAAGGCGCCCGACGGCGCCTTGCCCTCGAGGGCTTTGTGCGGCGCCTGCGAGAAAGAGCAACAGCCACGGCCACTGCACTTACAACTACTCAGGGCGTCTAGGTTCACGTGCACATACATGACTCTGGTTCGTTTTCTCCATTGCGTGCCGAAAGCACAGAAATCAAAGTCGATCACCTTCACGTTGGTCTGCTTGGCGGCATGTACCGCCCACTTGGTCTGCCACACCCACGAAGTGGCCGGGTTCTCGATCGCCGCTGGGACCCCACGCAGCGCGCACTCCAGAAAGAAGCTGAAGGAGAAGCACGCGAGCCTGTTCCCCAGCATCACCTTGAGCGAGTCGCCTGACGAGAGGCCAGGGAGTCCCAGCAGATGGTTCCCATCACGCAGGGCCGGGGGGCCGTTGGGCCTATTCCGCGCCATGGACCAGGAACTGCAGGGCATACCCAGCCACACACCCTGGAGCAGCTGCCCACGAAGCCAACCCCGAACAACACGTTGCACGCTGCGCCTGGAGGGGTCGCCCAGGAGCCACTGAAGATCTCCAGGTACACCTTCGACTTGGCGGTGTGGGCCCACGAGCTCAAGTTCTGCATAGGGTGCTGCCAATAGTCGCGGCGCAGCCGAGGGCCTGAGCTTGCTGCACTGGTCGTAGACGTTGGAGCTGCTCTTGGACTCGGCCTCCCTTTGCATAACGTTTGAGACTCCGGTCGGACTCCCACCGCCCCCTTTTCTTGATGTCCCCGAACTCCCGAGCGTTGGTCAGCATCTCGTGGCTTGCGCCGCCGTGGCGCAGTTGGTACAGCACTGGGGGGCCCAGGATCTCCAGGTCCAGGGCGGCGGACGCGAGGTTGAACGCCCGGGTCCACGACTTCATGCTCAGCGCGAACAGCGGCTGCTCCGGGTGTCGGCCCAGCACCAGTCGGTCCAGCACCTGCTCCATCCAGCCGAACTCTGGGTTGTCCAGCAGCAGGCTGATGTCGTAGTCCTTTGTCTTCGACCTCGGCTCGAGCTCGGCGGGGAACAGGAGGATGGAGTACTTGCTCAGGTGCCGGGGCCCGCTCTTCACCGGCCGCACGACCGAGATCACGCGCAGGGACAGCAGCTCGGAGGGCCGCAGGTAGAGGATGAAGGCCAGCACGGTTGCCGTCGCCGCCGCCTCGAACCCGTTCGTCACCATCCAGTCCGCCATCCACGCCACCACCGGCCAGGGCAGGGGCAGGCGAGCCCGGGGGGGCGCCATGGACTTCCAGCCCTTCAGCGCCCGCTGCACGCGCGGCATGTTGATCAGCTTCGGCAGCAGGTCCAGCCGGAAGTGGGTCACGGCGGCCGCCAGCTTCGACCCGTCCGGCGAATCGTGGCCCTCGAAGTACAGCACGTTGAAGTATTCCAGGAGCGTCTCTTCCAGCTCTGGGATGGTGGACACCGGGAGCCTCGCAGCCTCGGCCCAGGTCAGGAAACGGTGGTAT